TTCATCATTGATCTCAGCGCCTTTGGGTCAAACACAGGGTGAACAGCACTTATACAGGCCGCTGCACAGCTGACATACATGCTGAATTCACATGCCCTATATCCCAGGGGAGGGGGGGGGGGGCTGTGTTTACAAAATAATAGACTTAGTAGTAATCAATTATTAATTTTCTGGTTATGGTAGCAAAGTTAGAATGTAATTGTTTATTATACCTCTTAACTGGAACTGTGAAATATGTGAAAAAAAACACTAGCTTTTCAGAACAGCAAATATTTATTTATCAGAATATTATGATAACCAAAATGTCTCATGATATTGATATTGACTTCACATAGCTTTTATTTTCCTTGATGATTAATGTATCTTTCTTTTTATAGATTAAGTCAATAATACACTCATAAATTCCCCATCACAAGTTCCCAGAGCCGAAACTGACACCTCGTTAATACTTCTTTGTTTGTTTTTGTCCAAGAAAGTCTACAAATGTACAGTTTGCAATGATTTAATGAAGAAGGATTTTATGATAAATAATTGAATCTATTAAAGGTCGGGTAGGTAAGTTTGAGAAACCGGCTCGAGATACACTTTTTGTTATATTCCATGGAATGCTCTTAACATCCCGATAGCAATGAAAATCTTAAGTGCTTTGACAAAAAATCCATAAACACATTTCTTCTGTGGAAGCCGTAGTGCTGTAAAAAGCACGACCAATCATTTTAGCCAGCCCGGCTAAAGTAACTGGATGGCCTACCTGCCTGTCAGCCTTCCATCTGTGCACAAACTTATCTCGTGCCCTCATTGGTCACGTGCGCGTTCGTTGGAGGAGGGGCTCTGTAAGGAAGTGGCAGATTTTTGCCGGCTGTGTAAAATTACCTACCCCACCTTTAATTACCATAAATGTATATGATTTATGGTTGTGGGATCCTGATAACAGATGTTGAAACTAATTTCAAATACAGGAATATATAGGTTAACACCTGTGAAACAAGAACAAGACAAATTCACAAAAATTAGCTTGTTCTTGCACAATAAATATGTGAAACACATATTCAGGTGTCAAACTTTTGGTATAAATAGAATCACCCATAATCCACTGTATCGGCACTGATAATCCTGCCTGGCTATATTAGCATCTGTGGCTACAAATTGCGCCTCAAATCCATATGTTCTCATAAAGTGGTTTTGCTATTGTGTCTTGGTTGCTTTGAGTCCATTCACTAATGCTTTAGCATGTGAATGGATTTGGCAAAAAGCTCATCTCATGTAGAAGTGTTTATTTTAAATCTAGCCTGATATTCAAACCCATTCTAATCTGAGCTGCCAAATACATGCAACGTTTTGTTTATGGACAAAATACACAGTGAGTATAATAAGTGCTGTTAATGTAAGTGTGTGTAAGACTTTTGGGGCAATCAGAGGATCTGAAGTGAGATAGAAAATAAGAAACTATCAATATTAATGCTATATTATACTCCATTGTACGCTGTTAGTATGATTCCTACCTCACCAGAGTGACTCATGTGTTGCTCAGCGGGGTGTGTCAATCTGCAGCTCAGTACTAAGAAGACAGTTGAGAGAAACATGTTCAGTTTAACAGTCTGATCATTGTAAATGATATAGTCCATATATCTGCAGTGTTACCTGCTGTGCAGTGTGAGCATGTTGCCCTGAATATAACCGTGTCCTCTTCTTCTTCTCTCCTCCACAGTGGAAGCAGCGGGGGTAGCAGCAGCAGGGAGAACAGCGGCAGCAGCGGTATTGGCATTCCCATCGCCGTGCCTACACCCTCCATCCCCAACTCTGGACCAGGTGAGCTCTTTGCTAGCAGCACATCATGCAGTGACAGTTGCCAGAGGCCAGCCAGCCTTTTCCCCTTGCTGATATTAAATGAGGGAAGGATTGTATTCAACCAGCTTCAGGCATTTTTTAAAACCGCTAATAAATCCTGCCCCACCCTGTGCTGCTAACCCACCTAAGAGTTGTATAACCCTTTCCCATGCTCCAAATACAGGAAGAAATAACACTTTTGAGTATTACAAAGAAAGAAAATATCTGCTTTTTATATTCCCAAAGAAAATAGTGTTTTGCAATATGTGTTCTGAAATGAAAAAACTAACAATATTTAACATTAAAAGGGCGAATACGAGAAAACAGTTGTTTATACAATGTGCATATTTGTCAGAGAGACTTTACTTTCATGCCCCCATTAGAAACAGTAGACTGAGTAACTGATAAATAACACACTACATGCCTTTAAGTCCTAAGTGCATATCTGTGAATTTGCAATAAAAATGACCTTATTAGAGAGTTTTTTCTCCAAATAAATGATAACATTTTTGGAAATTTGGAGCAGTAAACATCAGGAAAGAGTTCATATATTTAAATATAACATGTATTATATGCCAATATTAAGCATTAATTGAGGAGGTGTAAATGTAACATGTATTTGCACATAGTAAATCCACGCTACACAAAGCCTATGTTTACCAGACAGGGATTATATAGGCCCATTGTGTTCTAAGCACAGCTGATTCTCTATCCTCCAGTGTAAATAGGCCACGCTGCTTTAGGCCTGCTGCGTTACAGTGGGACAGTAAGGCTCACATAACACCACACATAGTACTGCTTTACACCATACACACGCCTTAGATACAACTCATTGGACTTTTACAAAGGATTTGAGCTGAAAAGAAATATTTTAGTTTAATGCAGCTTCAGTACCTCAGCGCCAACCTCCTGCTGCCCGAACAGAACCATCAACTGCTCTCCCTGCAAGCTTGTTGCCATGGAAACACTCCACAAAATAAGTGTTTCCAAGAGTGTGCGGCTCCTCGACCAAGTTACAAGTTAAATGGTTACTAATGTAAATACTCCTTTCAGTACCGCCAATGTTCGCTCCTCCGGGGGCCCCACCCCCCCCTCCTCCTCCTCTTCCTCCTCCCGCTCCTCCCATGGCCGGGCTCGGCCCCCCACCACCACCACCACCACCACCACCTCCTCCACCTATAGGTGAGACGCCGAAACCCCAGAGGCCGCTCTTATCGCCTCTTCTGCCCGGACGGTGGATAATCAGCACGGCTTCTGGTATCTTCCTATGGTGGAGCAGCACAACTAAGGGTGGATGGGTGTCTGTTTGTACACACTGCAAGCAAGAGAGTCTCATGTTTATCGGCAATCAAATCATCCATTTTATTTCCATACACATTGGGCTGCATATTAAAGATGTTATATTCAATTTCTCTAAAGTAACGAGTAAACAAAGCTTGCAAACAAACCCCTAGTTAATTAATGAAAACAGAAAACCAATGCAGCTGCTTCCAAACATCTTTTGAGATATTTGGAGTTTATAGAGCACAAAGGGTTTGAGTGTTTTAATAGCTCCCCATACTCTGCACTTTTAAGGTAAAAGCTATTGCTATCATTTCATTCCAAACTGGTTGTTAGGTTCCTTAGGAAATGACCATCTTGCTTGCAGTGTGAACAGGCTGTATCTTTGCTTCTATTTGAAGACACAGCAGGTTACTTTCAATATGCCTTTTTTCTTTGCGGTTTATTAACATTTTTCTCAATCCTCAGTGGTGGTGGTGCTTCCTTATTCTTCACTGATCTTTCTATAATTGGCTGATGAAGAAGTCTCATATCAGCTAAGGCCTGTCAAAAGTTAATAACTGCCTGGTCTATTTACATTTGACCTCAATCTGCAGTATATTTAGGCTATTAACATTGATAGAAGTGATGATAACTTTAACAACCTACATTTAAAAATGAAATGTAAGCCTTCCAAGCTGAGGTAGTGGCAGGATGTGTAGATTCCAAAAATAAGATACAAAATTAATTTACCTTTGTGATTTTTGAGACTTCTTCTACACAGGTAAGTTACCCTTTTACCAAATAAAAGGATGTTGGATTGGTGCAGCTGCATTACTCAAAATGTTGTTATTATCGCATACATCATGATTGGGAAGTAACGAAGGAGACCATTTTGGTAATTCAGATATTTTATATCTCAGCTATTATTTGCTACTTAGTTATAACCTAGTTATGACATATATAGCGGCAAACTAAATAAAAAACACAAAATTGAGTTTATACATAGAGATTAATTGTATAAAATAATACTTTATTTATCCCGAAGCAAATTATTTTTGCCAGATTAACAAAAGGTACCATCAACATAATTAGCATATTAAATTGAACAACAAACTACTCGAAACAAAGATGGAACAAGTAATGAATGTAAACAAATGTAAACAAATGTACAGTGATGAGCGGTATTGTAACAGTAGGCTACAAAAGAATGTAGGCCTAGTTACAGATTTGTAATTGCACATGTTAGTATAGCACATTATTTTTATTATTATATAGCACATGATGTATAGAAGAGAGTTTTGCAATGGTGATAATGATATTGCTCATAGTGGTGGAGTGGCATCCAAAATATTTTCACTCAGTTACTACCAAGTGCTGCATAGCTAACTGAAGTAACTGACAAAGCTAACGTAAACTTGCTAATGGCTAAAACTCGACCTGCTTGGATTAAGGAGTATAAAAAGTAAATAAATATGGTCAAAGTTTGATTTCACATTTGATCAGAATATTGGCGAAGTCTTACATTAAATGTCATTATATTCACAGCATACCTTTTTTAAATTACAGAATGACATGCCAACAACATTGAACTAGCTAGCATGCTAACATAAAACTAGCTAGCATGTAATTGTTCCAAATGAAGACACCTAATACTAACTCTGAAACGCAGCCATTTGTTCCATGTATGCATAAGTAAATATACAAAGCATTGTCATTCAAGTTTAATATATTGTTTTCCCCCCTTTAAAATAATTGTACACTTTTTGAGACTTTAATAGACCATGCTTAATGTTAACTAGCAGCATGTTTAAACCTTACTTAAGTCATAGCTAGCTAAAACACTATTTATATTTGAATGTTGCAATCTGATTTAGTTACACTATTCTAAAGATGGCTTCTATTTAATAAGAACTAAATAATGAATGGTAGATACTAAAATAGAAATAACAAGCACTCAATCTTGCAGCAGCTACATTTACAACTGATATCACATATTATGATTTCTGGTTAATGAAGTTGGAAAACATTTAAATAGCCATTTGATTGCTGGAAACATTCAATACTGCCTGATGAAGCTTCAATTTACCGGGGATATTGACTCTGAATCACTAGAATATGCTGGTTTTGATTTCCTGTCAAGAGCTCTGCAAAGCTCTACCAACGACTGTGTGTTTGTACAATGGCGGCTCATATCTGATTGACTGCAGTAATCTTCAGCGAGATGATCACTAGAAACATGCACATTTAATCCTCAGAACATCAATGCAGCTATAATTACTTCTGCTAGTGGCGGTATGCAGAAGTTTGTTTGCCCCCTGTGTTCCTCTGAATCTCTACTTCCTCTGGTTCCACCCATCCCTATCTGAGCAGGGCCTCTCCTAAGAGACAGTACGCTATCTAGAAATGTGAACAGGAAATATTTGAGACGAACAAAATAAACCTTTTCCTCACTAACACACCCACTCGATGAATAGTCTGCACATTTTCAACGTAATGTTGAAACATTGTGGACGCTGTTGCTGATTTGGAAGTTACATTGTTTTCACATCTGTGGAAACGTAAAGGATCTGTTGGTTCTGCTGCTGCTCTCTTTGCTCACTGAAGCGTTTCCCTCAAGAACTCTTAGGTGCCGGATTTATTCTCTCGACTTTTGTTTTTCATTTCACCTTAATTAAATATCTGTGCAACTGTATGATCAATTGACAATCTGTGTTGCTTCCCTAGCTCACCTTGCTTCCTTAAATGGGTTATTGATTGTCTTTTCATAAGGTGTGGGGCTCTAATCAGTATGTAAAAAGCTCACATTATCTTTCATAAAGTTGATGATTCATGTGTTGGGTGCTTTTTTTTTTTCTCCTTCTTCCTTCTCCTCTGTCTAACCCCCCTCCCCCCTCTTTCGTCTCGTCTATCCTTCCTCTGTTCCTCCCCTTGTCTCTGGGTGGTTCTAGTGGTGGCCCCTGGGCCTGGTCTGGGACCCGCTCCAATGTCCCAGTTTGGAACCATCTCGCGGCAGATTTCGCGGCACAACCCCTCCAACTCCTCTGTCTCTATGGTTTCGGCCACGGGCACGTACCGCCGGGCGCCGTCGGTCACTTCCCAGTTCTCCTTGCAGCAGCAGCAGCAACTACAGCAACAACAACTACTACTACAGCAGCAGCAGCAGCAACAACAACAGCAGCAACAGCCTCATATTAATGGAGGCACTCATGGCTACGGCCAGAACTCAAGTAAGGCCCTTCTGTCTCCAGCCTTTACCTGCTTTATACATCCTGAACTGTCACTGAAGCACACAATGTCACATTTCTTCCAAATCACGCACTGTCACAAACTAAAGAAAGCTAACCTTTGTAGCCACATATTTGCATGAGAGTCACTGCGGCCTAAAGGTCAAGATTGAATTCTTGTCAGTATTATTGACTTCTCTTGCAGATTGATGGAGCGGGTTAAGGGATAGTTCACTGTTTGTACCAGACGGACCATTGTACCAGCAACAATTTAAAACAAAGTACTGTGGGGAAGCCAAAGTCACGCATAAAATCAACAAACAAACCAATTTAGGCATTGGTACACTAGGAGCTCCTGTGTTATGCGAGTTAAAATCACAAATGTTGTCAATGCACTCTGCTGGCTATGTCGAGAGCATAGGTGGATTTACTGTAAAGGCTCTGTGGGACAGGGCTGTCTAATGTCAAGGTAAAGCTGTGAAAATATTCTAAATTAAGTATACACTTGAACTAGATTTCATTACCTGGGCCCCTTTTTTTCCTAGCTAATATAACTTGCTGCAGCCCACATCCAAAGCAGTTTATCTTTACTTACATGCCATAACTTGGTCTGTTATTCAAAGTTCTAAAGGCTAACTACTCTGACTGGGTGCATACGTACCTCATACATCCCATCTTCAAAACTGAACAACCCCTTTAAGGCTTCCTATCAATCAGCGGGATGACTTTGGTATTTATGCAGAATTTGTGTCTTTCTAGGATTTCAACCAGACACTTGATTTCTCTTGACAATAGTCGCAGTTTTTGGTTATGTTTTTTCAGAAGACTAATAACCTTTCAATATAATTCTCTGTTCATCATGTGGGTTTTCATTCTTTAAAACTAGCTACTGTCTAAGATGCAGTCTCTATTTGGTGATAACACGTGATCATTATCTGGTTAAATTCTAAGGATAATGAAATCCAATCAGGACCTTTACATTACGTTATTATTTTCGAGTCACCTTTCAAACGGAAGACTTGCTAGCTTCTGCCACAGCTTGAGATAGCAGACAGAAATGGAGCTAGCTGACCTTTCACCTTGCTTGGAGGATTATTCCACCCCCCCTAAGAATGTGGTCACACTGTAAGGAATGCATGCACACCTGGCTGAGATCAGACCAACAGACCACCTCCAGATGTGTTTAATCGCATTCCGTTCACCATGTGTTTGACGGCATTGACACCTGGCAATAATGTGCTTGTTTTGCTTGGGTGTGCATTTACAGAAGCACTATATGTCCGTATTTATTTGTGTCTCTATTGATCTATCCAAGTGCAAATGATCCGTCAAAAGTATGAATTCAAAGTGCTCTACATAGCTTCAATCTGTCTGGGGGGGTTCAGCAGATTTGCTTGGATTTAGGATAGGGTTGATAGACATCCAATACAAACAGCGCCTCCCTCTGGCCAATCACATCCTTTCTTTTAAAGGTCCCATGTCATGGCCATTTCTACTGATCATAATTCCATTGTTGAGGTATACTAGAATAGATTTACATTGTTCAATGTTCCAAACTCACATTGGTTTCTCATACAGCATCTCTGTATAATATAAGTATTCACTCTCTGTCCTAAACGGCTTGTTGGAGCTCCTGTCCCCCCCCCCCCCCTATGAGCCCACTGTGCTCTGATTGGTCAGCTCGCACACTCTGTTCTGATGAGTCCACCACCATTACAGCGTAACATCAGTGATTATGTGTTACAATGGCTTTAGCAACCAGTAATGACACCAATAATGACAAACTGATGAGAATGCTGCATGTGTGTGAGGAGCTCCATGGATTGGTCCATTTGGACCTGGGCATGGTTACGTCACCATACTCAGGAAGAAAGGACAATGGACGCGGTGAAGGGGTGCTGAGGGGGCTGCAGACCCCATCTGCGAGGCTCCACCTGGCACCCGCACCCCAGCCGCATCACAGTTTTCACCGCTGAGAGTGTGTGTGTGTGTGTGTGTGTGTGTGTGTGTGTGTGTGTGTGTGTGTGTGTGTGTGTGTGTGTGTGTGTGTGTGGTTGTGTGTGTGTGTGTGTGTGTGTGTGTGTGTGTTGTGTGGTTGTGTGTGTGTGTGTGTGTGTGCTGGATGGGATTGTGTGTGTCTCACACACCGTGTGTCCACAGCGTCGAGTCGTCGTCGCAGTGAGGAGAAATCGTGTGTATGCAATGAAGAACGGCTCGCGGATTGGTCCATTTGGACCAATGGGTCCATTTGGGTATGGTCACGTCACTGTACCCAGGAAGAAAAAGTGAAATCTCGAGGCGTTCTGGGGCAGCATAGACAGGTCTTTTCTGTGTTAGAGTTTTACTCGCTACAGGGTGTACTTTGAGGGTTTGTGACTCTGCAGACCGTTTACATGCAGATAAATCTACATAACACACAAGGGGACGGGTAATAACCGGAAAAGCATGAAATGGGACCTTTAAAGCAATGAGTGTGAGCCGCCTGATTGACAGAAATCAAACCTAATCTGCAGTTTATCCTCTGGCCTCAGCAATCCCCAGATACCATGTGAAATCTCATCACGAACGTCACTGAACTTTTGTGTTTTCTGCAGCTAAAGACGGTTGAATTAATTACTCTGTTGACCCTTGTTGCAATAATTGATCATTCAAACATTTTATTTCAATCATTTGGGAATTTATAGAGTCGACAGTTTACTTAATTCGACCAAGCACATCACTCTGTCTGTTAGACTTGTATAAGCTCACATTCCTGCAGTGTGTCTGTCTTTAGTCTGTGTCACTGTTACGTATGCTTGGTATCAGGTTGCACTCTGTCTTCTGTATATTCGTGGTGACTGATGGGGCTTTTTCTGTTTTGTTTTTTTTGTTGCTTTCTTTCTCTGCCTCTCTGTTTTCTTCTCTGCTGGCTTTCAGTGTCTATCGCTCCTCCTCCTCCCCCCATGCCCCAGCTGACTCCACAGATACCTCTGACTGGCTTTGTGGCCAGGATGCAGGAGAGCAGTAAGTGAAGAGGCTAAGATATACTTTCCTCCTGATCCATGCCAACTACTTCCCTTTCCAGAACACCCAGCATGCCTCATTCTTGTTCTTCCTCTTCCCTTTTTCTTTTGAGAACAAATAATACCAGCAATACCAGGAATGTGTCTCATTAGAGTCCAGTCATTGTTAACGCAACTTTTAAATCTGCAGTTTGGAGAGTGATTTATTTCTTCATTGTTGCTGTTTCTTTTAGCACTACGTAGCTTATTTTCTTGGCAAAGGAGGTATCTTTTTAGAGTACATGCAGTGGAAAAGCTACCCTCTGAGACTGTTAATGCCGCCACCTACTGTTTTTAGTGATTTATTCTCATGCAGGAGATTGTATTACTGCCTGAAGCTTGCTTTTCATATACTGGATATAGCACTGCACAGTTGAGCTCCGATGAATGATAATGTTTAAGAAGAAAAGTGCCGAAGGTCTCTAAAAAACGTTGCTGCCCCCTGCTGGATGATAACCTACAATACAAATATTACGGTTAAAGAAATATTATTTATTTTGTTTCTTTACGCAAAGCAACTTTAGATTCCTATGGTGTATTGTGTGTTAACACACAACACTTTGTATCGTAGTTTTATAAGAAATGTTCATTAGAAGATATCTACATAGTACATAGCTTTTTTGATGGCTTTGTCTCCAACGATGTGGATGCCGTGACACTAACCTTTGACCTACTAAATAGCATGACACAGCATGTGATAATCATCAGATCATGGAAATGTTCATAAATCCTTTGCAGTTCCCCTTTGCAGAGAGCTTCAGAACCACAACAAGAGGAGCACGGAGTACATCAATCCTTTAAGAGGCTTAAACATACAGTATATGTATTCATGTTAAAGGTGAAGTCAGTGATTCTAATGGAGGACTGCAGAATATATCTGATTTGTATTCTCATTGGAATGTGAACTATGGCGATAGCCACATACCAAGACTTAATATCAGTAGAAAACGGGATTTTAAATTTTAATTTTTGTATTGGTTCCTTTATTCTATTCAACAATCAATTGGTCATATATTTGAAAGTAAAATTATTATTGCTACACTCAAAATGATTGCATATTTTCTTAATATCAGGCAACCAATACCTTTCATGTCAAATTTAGTACATTTAAAAAAAAAAATGGGGTATTTTTTTGGGTGTTGAAATATCTACAGCCTTTCTCCAGAATCACTGCCTCCACCCTAAAGTGATCCATGGAATGTTTTTAACAGTGATGCAGCCTGCTTGACGAATGTAATATTCAAATACCATTCATACACCCTCTATCATTAATCCTGCATGCTTCATCAGCCGTCCTCTCCATGTCCTTGACCTTTTGACCCCCTCGGAAGAAAATCTAACTTTCTGTGTCTGCTCGACAGTTGCAGATACTCCTACTCCACCTCCCCCTCCGCCTCCAGACGACTTGCCCCTGTTTGACGACTCTCCTCCACCTCCTCCGCCTCCTCCAGTTGATTATGAGGAGGAGGATGCTGCCGTGGTGCAGTACAGCGACCCCTACGCTGATGGAGACCCCCAGTGGGCCCCCAAGACCTACGTCGAGAAAGGTTTGTGGCAAAACATCTACTCCAACATCAGCAGCTAACACAATTCAGCATTTACATCTTCATTAATAAAAAAGACTAACAATTTCAATATACACATTTTTACATGCTACTGTTGAACTTCTTTAAATATTGTTATTATTTTACCTTTAACCGCTCAATTTTATTTTTACATACCTTTTTTTGAATATATAATTTTATTTTTACCTTTATTTGTTTTTATTCTTCTTATTAGATCAGAAATATTATTTTATATTTTATTGCACATGTTTATTTGAACTGATGTTTTTTTAAATATTGTTAAATTATTTAATCTTTTTTACTTCACATTTTTATTTTACTTGCGTTTAAATACATTTTTTATTTATTTTTATATTATTTAACTTTTATTTATATAAATATTGTATTATTTATTTCATTTAATCTTTATTGCACATCTTTATTTTAACTTCTTCTGTTTACATGCATATAATGTTATTTTTCTTTTTATTGCACACTTTTGCTTCAATTTCTTATGTTCGTAAAACATTTTTTTAAATTCTAAACACAACACTCAGAAAATCCACTTACCCCTGGGATAATTAAATAATTCTGAAAAGTGAGCACAACCTAATCCAAACCTTCTTTTCCATTGTCAGTGGTGGCCATCTACGACTACAGCCAGGACAAGGACGACGAGTTGAGTTTCATGGAGGGCTCGATCATCTACGTCATCAAGAAGAACGACGACGGCTGGTATGAGGGCGTTGCCAACGGCACCACGGGGCTGTTCCCCGGCAACTACGTGGAGTCCATCATGCACTACGCCGACTGAAGCAGTAACAGTAAAGTCTATTTATTCAGTCACATCATAATCCACTGAGAGACTGACCGCCGCAACCTTGACTCCCGAGACGCGTAGACATAACTGTATGATCCCCTTTTGATATGACAGAATGTTCTTTCCCTTACTGATTGCAAATAAAATGAAAAGTAATATCTATTTAGTTTATTTTGGTGTTATATGGGTGGGGTTGGGGACATTTATTGAATAGTGTAAAAAAGAAAAAGAAAAAAATTGGACTGATCATGCCCGTTGAACTCAAAGACGATGGTCACACAGCTGAAGGATGTACGACATCATCTTGCCTGGACAAAAAAAAGGAGATTCAGAAGTGAATGCTTTCCGAACAAGAGTATTAGGTTTTGATGGAACAAATCAAATGTAAAACACCTTCAGTGGAAGTGTTTGTACTGTCAGTTGTATATATTGTGAGCTGCAGCCACTTGAGTTTCTGTAATGTGAATTCAGTGAATGTCGATTATATGATAGTTTTCATTAGTGGCGCCCTCCTCGACTCAACAAGGCTCATTGGTCAAATAAGACAGCCGGTCAATAATTTACAAATTGAAATACTGTATATGGTATTTCGAAGACAATTACTCCTGAAAATCTTGGCGTTGAAAGCATGCAACATTTTAAGAGATATAATGTAATCTTAAGTTTATTGCTTCCATAATGTTGTAAATGTATTCACCTTTCATTTTTATTACACTGTTGAAATCACTGAACTGTTTTTAGAGTGACGTAAGTTTCAGGCATCGGATATTAACATAAAATTGACTTTTTCATCTGTTTAAAGCAAGAGAACACATTTCATTGTTTGGCTTAACAAGCATTCAAAGATTGTCACGTCACTGTTAATTAGTTAATAATAATCCTTGTAAAAAAAACCTGTAGGATCTATTGGTAACTGGCTATAATGGACTATGATAGACAACGGATAATGTGCAGTGATTTTTAGGCTGGAATAGATGCATGACACTGCCATGACAATTCAAATGTAATGCAGACCAATAAACAACTAATACCTCCTCAGCCTTCAAAAAGCAACAAGGACCATGTTGAATGCTCTGAACATGAAATCCTCTGGGCTGTTTGTATTTTTAACTCTTGTAAAAAAAAAAAATCAGCTGTCACTCAGGTCTAACATCATCATGATAACATTGTATGTTTTTATGTTGGCCACCCTTCTGTACGTACCATATAACAACATAATGATTGATTTCGGACCATTTCAGGATACTGCAGCTTATGCCTTGATATTTTGCCCGTTTGCTTTAGGAATTTCCAATTTAAAAACTTGTTCTGGCTCAATTTCATGGGTAGAACTATAGAAATACATCTGTCTGCCCCTCATTTGTACATATAATATGTTGATTGAAATATTAATGTACAGTCTTTTTATAATAAACAATTCTATGTACAAGATGCATGTGTGGTCACTTGGAGGGAATGCAAGAGGAGCGCTGGCTTGGCTTAAATAAAACGTACATTTATTGAGCACATAGTCGCTGTGGATGAAAAGGCCATGGTTGTTACAGGGCACTTTGCATTGAATAAGTAACCTTACAGCCTTTCACAAGTCAAAAAACTGTTTGGCCTCTGAGGTGTGGACGGATCTTGTCAAACAGATCCAAACGGACAATGTTACACTTCCTTTGGAATAACACAGATGTTGCAATGCTCACATACCACTCAGTCAAAGTTAGTTTCAAGCATGGTAGGATGTTGCAATGGCAGTACTGAATGAAGCGTACAGTTGGGAGTGCAGTATCAATTTCCTGTATTTCATATTTCCTTTCCAAGTCCTAGCTGTTGACACCATTCCAGAAATCTGAATCAAAGCATTTGCACTAAATGTATTTATATATGGTGCTATTTTAAGATCTCCCCCCTGCCACCCATGTATATTTTTTGGAAGTGTACAGACACCAGTCTCTATGCTGTCACTCGATTGTGATTTAAGTGTTCGGACACATCAGTATGCTGCCACATTCAGAGTTTGACTCAATCCAGCACCGGGGCTCCTTCCTAACAAACTCCCATCTCTTTGTCCGACCTGGCCAGCTCAAACATGGCGGGCAGGATGATTTGCTTTTCTTCAGGTAGCTGCCTCGAGTGAATCCCAGTGGTGGAGGTTCACTTGTCTCTGGTGAGCACCATCTCAGTGAGTCTGATGAGGGCGTCTCTCTCCGCCGACGGCCTGAGCATACTGATCTGTCTGATGGCCTCCTGACAGTAGTGCTGCGCCAGGTTTTTGGTCTGTTCCACGCCGTCGCTCTAAAGAACAAGAAGGGGTGGCAACATTGTTTTAGTCTTCATTTATTCAAGCAATTGTGTTTCGGCAAAGCTCTACTTCTCTTTCACCGTTAAACATGAACCCCGATTGGTATTATGGACCACTTGGTGAATCTCAGCTGTTTGAGTAGAGAGAGTTCGGACTGGAACAATGTTTTCTGATTGTTCTGTCATCACATGAATGCAGCACAAATGCCTTGTTAACAAACGTGTAACATTGTTAGTGTATCGTGCCGAAGCATCTTTCCCCTTACAAACAAACCAACACAAAATCCCTGGCTATGGAGAAGTACCACACTTTAAACCATCTGAACTTGTCGTGATGAATCACAAACCCATTTTAAGAAGAGATATGTGTATGGCATCATGCTTTATTATATTAGGAGAGAGACTGTGCCATGATAAATGACGTACAGTATAAGCCGTGTGGCGCGAGAAAACCTAATTCTTCATATTCATCTACCCTTATTTACAGTAAAACATTCTCAAAGTAGATTTACATTCAAACCCTTACGTAATATGTATCTGGTTTTTAGCGAATGATTGTTCATACCTGAAAGACGTACTGCCAGGCTCGATCTACGTCTCCTTTAGAGCTGAAACGTCTCATGATCATTGAGTGGAGCTCGGGAAACTGGAAAGACAGAAAGAAGCTGAGTTAGAGACTGACAAACACTCATTTCCAGTAACTTCATACAGAACTACAGTTTATATTAAAGCTTACATACACGTAGGTGAACAAAAAAAAGTGCTAATGTGGATCTCACCTGTTGACAGGCAAACAGCACCGGTCCAGTGGCCAGGCCCAGTTTGAGATCTGCAGCCGAGGGCTTCCCCAGGTGGTTGGCCCCTGATGTGAAGTCCAAAACATCATCTACCAGCTACGAGACGGAGACAAATAACAAAATGTATAATTATTTTATTTACATTCCAGTTCTACAATCCATTATGTTCTGGATAACAAAACATGTAATCCGACACAGTAAAGGGTATTCTCATAATGTAGCTAGTATGTATTCAAAACGGATTCAAACTGAAAGTTACCTGAAATGCGATGCCAACATTCTTCCCGTACTGGTAGGCTATTTCATGGACCTTAGGATCAGAACTTACTAGAACGCATACCTTTAATGAAAGAGAAGAGAGTTAATACAAAATAAATAAAGAGTAGAAACTGAGCCATCTAAGTTAAATGGAAGGAGTCTCTGACTGCGGTCAAATAGTAAGAAAAGTTTTCCCAACCATCTTTTTAAAGAAAAGGTGTAAAGAGAATTCATTAGGACTTAGGAAAAGACGACTGTGGAGCTTACTTAAAAGACGCTTGAGTCATTTCACTCAGTTAGGAACTCAGTTTCTTCAATTCTCTGGTATTTGTGTGGAAACAGAACGTACATACTGCTTTACAACTGTTTGCAATCAGACTCGCTGTCTTCTTGAAGGTTTTCTCCAGGTAGTGTTTGAATCTCTCGTTCTCGTTCTCTTTGGAGCCCAGCTGCATGAATTCACCTGGAAGTCAAACAAATGGAGTTTAGGGAGTTTGCTACCGGACATCTAAGGAGATATTATAACCCATTGATTTTGCAAAACTGCATGAATAATGCGATAGGTTTACCTCGCACCAGATCCTCTATCACCTGGGAAAACACCTTTACAACCATGTTGTTACCAATTCGCGCCATGGTTATGGAGGCAACTGATAGGATGAAATCTCCAGCCAAGATTGCCTGGAAGAGAACAAAAAACAATCATTCATAAAATAAAATGGCAATGAAGTGATCAAGCAGAATGTATCAAGTGGATAAACAGGGGAAGGTTTTTCATTACCCCTACCTTTTTTTCACCCCACAGTTCATTGATGGTTCCCTTCCCCCTTCGTTTATTAGATCCGTCTATAACGTCATCATGCACCAGGCTGGCAGTGTGGATCATTTCTGTGATCATAGCTACGGCCCTCTGCCCTGGGAGCAATTCTCTACAGAGGACAACACATTGCAGGAAATGAGATCAGATAAAACCCTGGACCGTGATTCACATGACAATTAAAATAGTTACAACAGCGTGTGATGCATCTTCACTCTGGTATCAAGGGTAAGAGGCAGTGAGTAGGGGAAAGAGAACATTTGTGGAAGTCTAGAGTGTTTGTTTTTTTACCCGGATCTGTTGCTGTGGCTGTTGAGTGCCCGCGCCATCAGGACAACTATCATTGGTCGGATGGCCTTGCCTTTTCCGTCAAAGTAGTAATGACATAAAGCCTTCAGCTCTTTAGTTACAAACAGCTCCTGTAAAGCAACAAATCATTTCTATTAGTTGCATCAAAACAGCTACTAAACAAGATAAACATTTGCAAAAAACCACATGACTGTAAAATGACTTCTGCTCATTTCTAACCAACATCTTTTTAAGATAACAACACAGGTAAGGCTCACTAGTATTAAAGCTGAAAGAACTCCATCTGTCTCTATGCTTTCTAGACAGAAAATTCCACCATTTTATATCTAAAGAAACATAGAGGAAAAACTCAGTATTTCAATGTACCTTTCTGATGTCATCATATAAATTATTGAGATCTTTCTGTGCTATTGTGAAGGGGTCCTGAACCTTCACATCTGTGTGTGCACTGTTTATGCAAAAGCAAGACTTTAGTGAGGGATCCAGCAACCGTGGTTTGTGTCTGCAAGAGAAAAACAACAACATACAGCAACTGTGAAATACAGAAACATATAGAAATACAGAACATATGCGTATAATGTTAAATAAAGTTTTTAATACGGTATAAGTTAAATATGTCATTGAAAATGGCCTATATTACTGTGGTACAACATACACTGTTTGTCAATCATTTTTGCATAGCCCAATGTTATCAACAATATGTACATGATAGAACACCCTTCAACCTGAGGGGAAATATAGGCCAATTTGTATTCAGCTAAAACCTGTCTTGCAGTGTAAGGTGAACATTATACTAATACACACAAATCCAGGAATATTTTGGTTACATTGCAAGGCCTTTGGTAAAGACAACTCACCTGGTGAGAGATGTGATAAAGTTGAAAGTGTTTGGACCTGTCCGTCTTCGCAGGGCTGATGGCTGCCCCTGGAAAAAACAAAGGACATGAGACTTTTAGACTGTATTTAATTAGGTTTTATATCAGGCTACTTTTAGGCCAGCAGTCAGCATTTCAACACAAAATGCATTATTTCTGGCATCTTGGAGAAGGCTTTATACAACATAGACCCTCACCTTGGTGTAAGAAATATCCTAAATTATTTACATTCAAGTAGATGAAAACGAGAGTGTATATACTGTACTACGTATCTATATACATAGCAACAATGAACAAAAATACAAAGAGAACTCGAGAAACAAGATTTAAACAGCAAGCTATGTAAAGGTCAGAGTAATTAATATGCATTATGGCAGGTCTTGACCTTAGTGTATTCAGAGCACGGTGCTGAGTTCATTCTGTAAGAGCCAACAGCCCCCGCCACAAGTAAGTGAGTCACCATTCAGTTACGAAATACTAATAGAAAATAAGACACTAAATTGCTCAAATCCTAACATTGACTGGAAACGTCCCAGACAGTACAGTAATACACCAGTAAACTAAAAATCGCTAGCATTGAGCCGGGGAGGCTGAGGTTCGGTGGTGACCTTCCGGGGTTTCTGCAGCACTCCCTGCCCGGTGCCGATAGCAGCCGTAAACTCACCGCGTTCCCC